CATCAACTTTCCTGCTCCTCTGATGCTGCCTGGCCTGCTGTGTTCCTCCAGCTCCACACTGTGTTGTCTATGCTGTTGGTAGTGGTGGTCATCACTAAAATCTCAGAGGACCCTCTTGTTAGAGAGAGATGTCTGATGGGGGTTAACCTGACAGTTGGCATGCCTCGGGGAGAGGTGAAGTTGAGACCTTTGTTGTAACTGTAGCTGGTGCAGGAATTGACCTGATGGTATTGGCATCTCAGGCTAGCTGTCCAGCTAACTGAGCTAACCAGTGCAACCATCTTAGGCTGTACCTGATCAGAAAGAATGCTTGAAATAGTACAGAGGGGACTTTACCTCTGTCTTTGGCCTGGGAGAACTTGATGACAGTGCAACGAAAGGCAATCAAATGTTCAAACCCATCAGATGTCTTACCTGAGATAGGACGTCTGTTCTGAACCAGATTATTAAACGGGAGAAACAAAGTCGAGATGTTCCTTATCCACAGCTTAACTGAAACTTTCCACTGTTTGCAGATTAATATGGTTTTCTACAGCATAACTCTGTTCAAGTTGGCAAGGAAAATGTCCTCCATTCAGAAAGACGCACCTAAACTGAAGAAGTTCAGGTATGTGTGGCATTAGAATACCGGCCTGGATAAAAGATCTGTCTCTCCAAAGCTAATATGACCATGAAGACTTAATTTGTTGCTGCTTTCCTTTGTTCTGCTCCCAGGTCATTCACAGTGGCAGCAATTGCTCAACTATTTGTCCTGGGCTGTACCTGGATATTTGGGATTTTCCACTTTCAAAAAGAAACTATCAGCATGGCTTATATATTCACCGTCATCAACAGCCTACAAGGGGCGTTCATCTTTATTCTTCACTGTCTACTCAACAAACAGGTAGGAGACCGTCGCTGCCCAGGCAATGCCAATCAATGCAGTCTGCAGCTGGCCTTCCCTCATTCCCACCCCTCATATCTCACACAGTGCAACCCTTTTCCAATGTATTTATCAACGTTTCTGTAAATCACATTGCACCTCTTCCATGTCGACACTGTAACACTCTGATATACCCCACAAACCTCTGTAAGACTCTAATGTACCCCACACCCCTCACTGTAACAGTCGCTGATATACCCCACACCCCTCACTGTAACACACTCTGATATACCCCATACACCTCACTGTACTCTCTGATATACCCCACACCCCTCACTGTAACACACTCTGATATACCCCATATACCTCACTGTAACAGTCTCTGATATACCCCACAGCCCTCACTATAACACTCTCTGATATACCCCACACCCCTCACTGTAACTCTCTCTGATATACCCCACACACGTCACTGTAACACTCTGTGATATACCCCACACACCTCACTATAACACACTCTGATATACCCCACACCCCTCACTGTAACACTCTGTGATATACCCCACACACCTCACTATAACACACTCTGATATACCCCACACCCCTCACTGTAACTCTCTCTCTGATATACCCCACACCCCTCTATTTCTCAAACAATAGCCTTATCATTGCTCCATGCACTCCCCTCGATTTTGCATTATGTCACTTTCCTTGATTCCTAGTCATTTCCTGTCATGTCATTTGCATTCGTATGTTTGGAATTCCCTGCTTTATGTTGCCTTCTTCCTGAGTTGGAAATAGTCAAAACCATTCAGTTTGTTGATCCTTTGCCCTGTCAGTCTCTGGCCTATTCAGTCCCATTTCCCTTTCCTCATGCTCAATGTCTCTTTTACCTTCATCCAATCAGCTTAGGGAAAATGGCCATTCATCCCAACTCTCCTGTACTGGACTGCCCCTGTTCCACAGGAACTGTGGTCAATTCCTTTGACTTTGGTTTGATTGATTTTAAAGTTGGTGTTGGAGACAATGAGAATTTTATGTTACACAATGTGTTGTTAATGATCAGGAATGTGATTTGTACAGTAGAAATAGATTCACTAGCAATCTTTGAAAGGGAATTCTTGCTAGGCTAACAGAGCATGGTCTAGTTAGATAGTGCCTTTTAAGTCTCTGGCATGATGGACTGAGTTGTAAGATCAAGTCCCCATGTCTTACCAAAGCATTGGCCTGCTTTCCTCACCAAAGGGAAACAACAGGTGGTGGTTAAGCCTGAGGGTTACCACGCCTCAAGCGATGGAAGAGGTTGGGGATGAAAACCCTTTATGGTAGCCTCAGCCAGTGTGGGAATGTGGGAATGTGGGAATTGAACCCATGCTGTTGGTATTACTCCACATTGGAAACCAACTATCCGCCCAACTGAGCCAAACCAACGCCCACCCCCTCAATGATGTCATTGCATCAACATAGCCTTCTGTTCTTTTCTCCCTCAATGTGTCTCTTGCTTCAGGTGTCTACCTGCCCTCAAAGCAATGTTTCAATTCCCTGGAACTTTCCCCGGGAGTCTCCATCAGTCTAACGGGTAGTTAATGGAACCATTTTGTTTTTTTCCAAAGGTGAGGGATGAATACCGGAAATTGTTCCCATGCTGCTTAAAGCCTATCCTGTACTCTGACTTCATGCAGACATCCAGTGTCCCAATGGTCAGCCTGCAGTTGAAGAATGGCTCAACATACAGGTTTGCTTCTCCATTGTCATGTCTCTTTTCTGTGTCTGTACAATAGCGCCTCCCGCTGAGTGTGGGTGTGACCTGCTGTTAACACTGGTCATGTCTGCAGTGATGCTGGATTTGCCTCAGAAAGGCAGCCAACATCATCAAAGACCCTTCCCACCCGAGTTATAATCCCTTCCAACCTCTTCTATCAGGCAAAAGATATAAAAGCTTGAACACACGCACCAACAGGTTTAAGAACAGCTTCTTCCCCACTGTTGTTAGATTTCTGAATGGACATCTCAAATTTTAAATCTAATGTTAATCTCACTCCTTGTGCACCTTCTCTACAGCTGTAACATTGTATTCCTCACTCTGTTCTATTACCCTAAAGCACTTTGTATGGAATGGTCTGCCTGTACTGTAGGCAAAACAAAGCTTTTTACTGTACCTAGGTACATGTGACAACAATAAATCAAATCAAACCAAAAAGTCCTTAACTACCTTATCACTGCCTTGGATCAGTTGGTGGTCCCTTTTTCTCAGAGCCAGCCAGCTGGAGACGTAAGCCCTATGGCAGAGAGCCATACTTAAACTGACAGTGCAGTACAGCCCTGAGGGAGTGCCGCATTGTCAAAGGTACCATTCTGTTCCTTCTCAACTCGCCAATTCTGCTCTTCCCCAGGCAGGGGGGAAACATCCAATGTCATCATTTCAAATGAGTCAAAGTGTTGTCCTCAGCCATTGAAAATAATTGACTGTGTTGCCAATACGGGAGCTTGCTGTGTACAAATTGTCTACCGCAGTTCCTCTACTTCACTTCAAAAGTGCATTGCGTGCAGTGCGGCACTTTGGGACGTCCTGAGAGGCGCTACATGAATGCTGATTCTCCGGAAAAACTGGACGTGGGGCCGTGTTTTTTGTGTGCAGGAAAACCTGACTCTGCCTGTCAGTCAATGACCCCTTCCTCAGCGCTTGGCTGAGGGAGCTGGACATAGAATCAAAGCATGATTACAGCAGGAAAGGAGGCCATTCGACACTTCATCTCTCTGCTTCCTCTCTCTCTCTCTCTCTCTGTCAGTTAGTCCCATCTCCCTGCCTTCTCTCTGTTTCACTGCAAATTGTCTCTCACCTGGGTAACATTAGTTTTGAAAGCCAGGACCATATTTGTCTCCACCACAGTCTCAGACAACGCATTCCTGGAACCTAACCACATGCTGGTCAAGTCTACTTTTCCTCATGTTACCTTTGGTTCTTTAAGCATTCACCTTCAATTATTGAACCATCTGATGATGAGAACGGTTTCTCTCTGTCTGCCCTGTCTATCTCCCTCATGGTTTTGGGCTCTATGAAGTCCCCACCCAACAATGTCTTGTCTAAGGAGTTCAACTCCTGCTCTGCTAGTCCTTCTTACATTGCCGACGCTTTGGTAGAACCAAGCCAGCTCCACGGAGAGCATCCTACAGAGGGAGTAGACTGTCCTGAGACACAGCTTTTACAATTCCACTGTTGGATGTAGGTCATGAAAGTGAGGAGTACTTTTCCCCAGGGCAGGGGTGTCCGAAACTAGAGGGAATAGGTTAAGGTGAGAGGGGAAAGATTTAAAAGGGACTTAAGGGGCAACTTTTTCACACAGAGGGTGGTGCGTGTATGGAATGAGCTGCCAGAGGAAGTGGTGGAGGCTGGTACAATTACAACATTTAAAAGGCATCTGGATGGGTATATGAATGGGAAGGGTTTAGAGGGATATGGGCCAAATGCTGGCAAATAGGACTCAATTAATTTGAGATATCTGGTCAGCATGGATGTTTTGGACTGAAGGGTCTGTTTCCGAGCTGTATATCTCTATAACTCTAAGTGATATCCTAAGGATACAGCATGCCCCCGAGGGCTCTTGTGGAGCAGTGGTAGCATTCCTACCTCTGGGTTAGAAGACCCGGTTTCATATCCAACCTATTCCAGAGATCATAGAGTTAGGCTAGCCCTTCAGCCCATTGAGTATGCACTGACCTAGCTACACAAATCCCAATTTCCAGCACTTCGCCATAGCCTAAATGTTGCTACAGCTAAAGGTTCTGAGCCTCAGAACATGGTCAGCATGGGCTGTCTGGACTGAAGAGACTGTTTCCACGCTGTGTGACACAATGACTCAGCTACCCTCCCAGGCAGTGCATTCCAGACCCTCACCACCCACTGGGTGTAAAGGGTTTTTCTCAAAGTCCCTTTAAACTTCCTGCTCTTTGTCTTAAAGTTATGCCCCTTCATGATTGACCCTTCAAGCAATGGGAACAGATGCTATCCATCCACCCAGCCTATGTTCCTCATAATCTTATACACCTCTATCAAGGTCCGCACCCCTCCTCAACTTTCTCTGCTCCAAAGAAAACAACCTGAACTTATCTGGCCTCTCTTCATGGGTATGTCTGAACAGGTTGGTTAAAAATGGTCAGGCTGTTTGGCAGAGTGGCTCAGTGGTTAGCAGTGTTGCCCCATAGCACCTGGCACCCAAGTTCAATTCCAGCTTCAGGTCACTGCCTGTCTGGAGTTTGCATGTTCTCCCCATGTCTGTGTGGGTCCTCTCTGGTTTCCTACCACAGCCCAGAGATGTGTATGGTGGCTGGATTGGCCATGCCAAATTGCCCTGTAATGTGTAGGCTAGATGGGTTAGCCATGGCAGGTGTGGGGTCACAGGGAGAGTGCGGGTCTGGGTGGGATGTTCTTCAGAGGGTCAATGGGCTGAATGGCCAGCTTCTACACCATAGAGATGCTATGAGGTCCGAAACGAGTCGATCTCCAGCATGTCAGTGACTTCTTCTGGCCGCACGGTAATATTGTTTGGAGTTCCCTCGGCTCCTCCCTCATGATCAATCTTAAAGTGATAATTGGGGCCATTCTATTACTCTACTGATATGTCTGCAATGTCACATAGGGGAGGGTAAAGGTACGCAAGTGGTGCCAGACGAGGTGGATGAGATTAGTTGAGAATTCTGGGATCGGCCCCTGCACGTGCAAGATGCCAGATGGATTGGAACCAGAGTCAGTGAAGCAGTAATATTTAACACTGACTGTGACAAGGGGAATGGGGAGAGAGAAGGAGAATGGTGTTGAGACAAGTGAGCAGACTGAATGGAGGAGCAGGCTCGAGTGGCCATACAGCCCACTCTCGCTCCTGTTTTCTGACACTTCTTCGAGAAGATAAGCAATATCAAAGTTCCCAATCTATCTTCCTCAAATTGTCAGTTCTGCCCTCCCCAGGTGGAGGTGGAGAACATACAATGGCTTTGTTCCGAAGAGCTGGCCTTAGCTGCTAAGAAACAAAAAGACCATGTTGCCACTTTTGAGAGGTGGCTGTCAGCAAATTGGCTGCCGCGGGCCCTCCACTGCGATGGTAGCTTCACTTCAAAAGCATTTCAATTTGCTGGTCAACATCAGAGGAGCAAGAAAGGTGACATTTTGGGTCTGGACCCTTCCCACAGACCCGAAACGTCAGTTTCCTGCTCCTCTGATGCTGCCTGGCCTGCTGTGTTCATCCAGCTCCACACCTTGTTATCTCAGACTCCAGCATCGGCAATTCCTACTATCTCAATTTGCTGGTCAGCACTTTGGGATATGCTGAAAGGCGCTGTGTAAATGCAGTCGGACGTGGGGCCAGTTTTTTATTTTGCCCGGGCAAACCTGACTCTGCCTGTCAGTCAACGTTCCCTCACCTCTATTATCCGTGACGTAGAATTGCAATCTGATTACAACAGGGAAGAAGGCCATTCAGCTCTCCCAGGCCTGCTATTCAAGTGGTATAATGGGATTACTATCTATCGTGTTGATTGAGTGCATCATTAGCGAAGCCAAATGACAGCGGATGACTTGTAACTGGGACTCGAGAGAAGGTTCCGCCTCTGTAAATAGTCAGTAAACATTTGCTAGTTACCATCAACGTGGCTTCTAGCTCCCTTCTGTCAAACTGAAGACTCTCACAAGAATGATATAGACAATGAGATCAAGGCTGACCTAACTTTGGCCCCAACTGTTCTTTCCTGCTTGCCGTACAACTGGAATACTGTGAATAGTTCCGGGTCTCCTGATCTAAGGAAATGTGTATGACATTGGAGACAGTCCAGAGAAGGTTCACTAGATTGATCCTGGGAAAGGAGGTCTTATGAGTAGAATTAGCTAGAATTCATTGAAATTTAGAAGAATGATAGACAACCTTATTGAAATATACAAGATTCCACTCTGGGTAGATGGTTTTTATCCCCTGGTGGGAGAGTCTAGAGTGGGAGGAAGGATATTACTAAGCTGGAGAGCGTTCAGAAGAGATTTACCAGAATGTTGCTGGGAATGGAGGATTTGAGTTATAAGGAGAGGCTGGATAGGCTGGGACTTTTTTCACTGGAGCGTAGGAGTTTGAGGGGTGACCTTATAAAGGTTTATAAAACCATGAGAGATATAAATAAGGTGAATAGCAGGTGTCTTTTCCCCAGGGTGGGGGATTTCAAGACTAGGGGGGAATATTTTTTAAGGTGAAAGGAGAAGGATTTAACAAAAACATGAGGGACAATTTTTTTTACACAGAGCGTGGTTCGTGTGTGGAATGCACTGCCAGACTAAGTGGTGGATGCGGGTAGAGTTACAACATTTAAAAGACATTTGGATAAGTACATAAATAAGAAATGTTTGGAGGGATATGGGCCGAGTATAGGCAGGTGGAATTAGTTTAGTTTGGAATTGTGGTTCGCATGGACTGGTTGGAACGAAAGGTCTGTTTCTGTGCTGTATGACTCTGTGACTCTAATTTATTGAAAGAGCATAATCAATTAGGGTTAGGGTTAAGATTAGGGTTAGGGTTCGAGTCAGGGTTAATCCTACCACAAACCCATTTAGGAAAGAGATGAGGAGGAATTTCTTCTCTCAGTGAGGAGTGAATTTGTGAAATTCTTTACGACAGAGTGGTATCAAGCCTGGATGATTAAGTACATTTAAGGCTGAGATAGATGGATTTTTAATCAATAAGGGAATCGAGGGTTATGGGGGGAAAAGCAGGTAAGTAGAGTTACGGATTATCAGATCAGCCATGATTTCATTAAATGACAGGACCTGTATGCTCCAATATTTTATGGGTTTATTTCAGATCACAGGTAACTGGAACATGAGGGAAGAAGGATCTGTTAGGATGCTGCTAACACCAGTCTGTCTAAATAATAAATAGTCACTTGTTTTCAACTCCCTTAGTAATGGCACCCAAATCATCGAATTACACAGTACAGAAGAGACCCTTCAGCCCATCGAGTCTGTATTACCCAAGTCCAATCATAATACTGATACAGTCAATGAGATCAAAGTGAGCCTGATTTTGGCCTTCACTTCCTGCATGTGTTCTCTATAACTCTTGATTCTCTTGTCAATCAAAAATATGTCTAACTCAGTCTTGAAGTTTGCTGGGGAAGAGAATTCCAAATACTAGGGATCCCACGAAAGAAAACACATCTCCACACCTCAGCCTTAAATAGGAGACCCTAAATTTTTAAACTGTGCTTCCGGACTGCCCCTCAAATATCATCTTAGCGTTCAGCGCACAGATGCCTTTCAGGATCTTTTATGTTTCGAAAAGATCACCTTGCATTCTTCTAAATTCCAATGAGTAAGGGGCCCAAACTGCCTTCATAAACCAACTCTTTCATCAACAGCATTATATTATAGAGTCATAGTGTTGTATAGTATGTCCAACTCATCCATGCTGACCAGAGATCCCAAATTCATCTAGTCCCATTTTCCACCATTTGGCCCATATTCCTCTAAACCCTTCCTATTCATGTACCCATCCAGATGCATTTTAAATGTTGTAACTGTACCAGCCTCCACCACTTCCTCTGGTAGCTCATTCCATGTACACACCACCCTCTGTGTGAAAAAGTTGTCCCTTAGTTCCCTTTTAAACCTTTCCCCTCTCACCTTAAACCTATGCCCTCTAGTTTTGGATTCCCCTACCCTGAGGAAAAAGCCTTGGCTATCCAGGCCCATCATGATTTTATAAACCTCTATTACATCATTCCTCAGCTTCTAACACTCCAGGGGAAAATAGCCCCGGCCTACTCAGCCTCTCCCTATAGCTGAAACCTTCCAATCGCAGCAACATACTTGTAAATCTTTTCTGCTCCCTTTCAAATTTCACGACATCTTTCCTATAGCAGGGAGACCAGAACTGAACTCAGTATTCCAGAAGTAGCGTCACCAGTGTCCTGTACAGCCGCAACATGACCTCCCACTGACTCACTGCACTGACATAAGAACATAAGAACTAGGAGCAGGAGTAGGCCGTCTGCCCTTCGAGCCTGCTCCGCCATTCAACAAGATCATGGCTGATCTTTTCGTGGACTCAGATCCACTTACCCGCATTCTCACCGTAACCCTTAATTCCTTTATTGTTCAAAAAAAATCTACCTTTTCTTTAAAAACGTTTACTGAAGTAGCGTCAACTACTTCACTGGGCAAGGAATTGCATAGATTAACAACCCTCTGGGTGAAGAAATTCCTTCTCAATAAAGACCAATAAAGACAAGCATGGTAAATGCTTTCTTCATCACCCTGTCTACATATTTCCTTACAGCAGGACACAATTTTGAAGCTCAGCAAAATAAGTGGATCACTCTAAGTAATCCTAAACTTAACCCTCAAACACCCTTGAATGGAATGCTAACTCCGCTTTCTGTCTCCACAGATACTGCCAGACCTGCTGAGCTTTCCCAATGATTTCTGTTCTTTTTTCTGACTTCCAGCATCTGCAGTTTTCATCCTTTTCTTTTCCCTCTCAAGGAGCCTTTCCCAATGGGTTTTACATGGAGTTGGGGTTTAATTCATTTTCTAACCTTCGAGGGGAAACAGTGCTCCCCTATTGAGTCACTGTTCAGGGAGGCACATATTCAGTTTTAGTGCCGTGCAGGCCAGCTCCTGGGGGCCATAATTGCGAACTTCAGGGGAAAAGGAAGACCCACTTGTAGCGGGATCTAACCCTGTTTCTCTCGGTTGCTCTAGAACAGAGACCATCAGCTGTCACAACGCAGCATGAACAACCTCTCCCCATCAGTACATCCGGAGAAGGGACTACCATGCACTTTATTGCCAGGATTTCGCTGGGCTGTATCCTCGCAGGGAATACGTTGTGGATCTTCCACTGGGATGCTGTTTCTGAGTATTCCCTAACAATGGGCTGAATGATTTGTACACTGACAGAAACCATTGCATGAAGGAACGATTAGAATTGAAATGAACCTGTGTCCCAGCGTAAGAAGATCCATGTTTGACATGTGCATTCAACATCAATGAAGTCTTTCAGTGGGACACCTCTTTCCGTAATGTGTTGGGAGTATTTTGCATTGTACAGTAAGTTTACCATAAGCTATTGAAACTTCATGTCCAATGTGTTTTTTTGAAATGTCCTAAATGGTTCCAGAGGAACACACCTGATGGCTAGTCCTGCCTCTGGAGTTCTGCGCTGCCATGCTTTATTATCCTGACATTTTAAGTTATATTTTCTGCCAGCACTTTTCTCAACTTTGTAAATAAACGTGTAGAAATCTAACGGAGGTGAACTTCTGAACTGATCGCCATTATTTCCATCAAGGCAATAGTGCTGCTGTGGTAATGTCACTCACATAGAGGGCTGGGTTAATATTCAGGAGTTTAAATCCCACTATAACAGCGAGTTGAATTTAAAATTTGATGAATAAATCTGGAATTGAAAAATATTCACAGTAATGGTGACCGTGACTTACCATCTGTTATTAACCTACCGCTATGCTGTTGTCAGGGGAGGCAATGGTCATGTGGTTTTATTGCTCGGCTATCAATCCAGGAACTCAGCTGGGGATCTGGGTTCAAATCCTACCACAGCAGGTGGTGCAACTTTAATTCATTTTTTTTAACTATATGGAATTAAGAATCCATTGCAAATTATTGGAAAAATCCATTTGGTTCACTAATGTCCTTTAGGGAAGGAAACTGCCATCCTTACCTGGTCTGGCCTACATGTGACTCCAGATCCACAGCAGTGTGGTTGATTCTTAATTGCCCTCTGAAATGGTCTAGCAAGCTATTCAGTTCAAGGGCAACCAGCGAAGGGCAGTAAATGCTGGCCCAGCTAGCGATGCTCATGTCCCACAAGCGAATAATGAAAGAAACCCATCTGGTTCATGACTGTCCTTTCAAGGAGGGAAATCTGCCACCCTTATCTGGTCTGCCTCACATGTGACTCCAGACTCACTGTAATCTATTTCCCTCTTAGCTGCCCTCTGAAATCGAACAACAAGGTATTCGATTCAGGAGTAATTAGTGACAGGTAACAAAAGCTGGCCTTGCCAGAAATGCCAATGTCCCTTTTAAAGGATTTTCCTTCAAAATATCAATAATCCAAAGTTGGCCGGGGCGTGTGTTCCTGGTTACCAATCTCTGAACCCTGCTGGAGGCTTGGTTCAGCTGACGAAGCTAAACTCTCTGGGTAGCTCCTATCATTCCAGTGCTGCTCAAATAGAGGGCTATTTCACGTCATTGCACCCACACTGAAATGTCATACAGCCGTAGAGACAATACACCTTCAGTCTAACTCGTCCATGCCAACCAGATATCCTAAACTAATCAAGTCCCATTTGCAAGCAATTGGCCCATTTCCCCTAAACCCTCCCCATTCATATATCCATCCAGATGTCTTTTAAATGTTATAAATTGTACCAGCCTCCACCACCTCCTCTGGCAGCTCATTCCATACACGCACCACCCTCTGTGAAAATGTTGCCCCTTAGGTCCCTTTTAAATGTTTCCCCTCTCACCTTAAACCATTTTCTGAAGAAGGGTCTAGACCCGAAACGTCAGCTTTCCTGCTTCTCTGATGCTGCTTGGCCTGCTGTGTTCATCCAGTTCTACACCTTGTTATCTCTTAAACCTATGCCCTCTACTTTTGGACTCCCCTATCCTGGGGAAAAGACCCTTGACTATTCACCTTATCCATGCCCCTCATGATTTTATAAACCTCTATTAGGTCACCACCTCAGCCTCCGACGCTCCAGGGAAAATAGCCCCAGCCTAATCAGCCTCTCCAAAACTTCTAACCCCGGCGATATCTTTGTAAATCTTGTCTGAACCCTTTCAAGGAACAACATCGTTCCTATAGCAGGGAGACCAGAACTGAACGCAGTATTCCAAAAGTGGCCTCACCAATGTCCTGTACAGCCACAACATGACCTCCGAAAACCCTGTATGCAATGCACAGACAAAAAACTACAAATTTATTCCATATAGATCCTGTAATTAAAGAGAGCTACAGTTTGTGCATCTGCAGTCTGGACCATCAACAAAACATTTTACAGATTCTGAAACATACAATTGAGATGGCATGGAGTTAATATAAATAAAATTGATTAATTTTAAGCTTTATAAAGCTTTTTTTTTTGTTTCTTGGGATATGGGTATTGCTGGCTGGGCCAGCGTTCATTGCCCGTCCCTAATTGCCCTGGAGAATGTGGTGTTGAGCTGTCTCCTTGAACCGCTTGCAGTGAGTACACACACATGCAATGCTGTTAATGTCCCACGACTTTTACTCAAAACACTGACAGAATATACAACAGCAACATGACTTCTAATTATAATCTGATCAGTGTCCTAAATGTACCGTGTGGTTTAACTGTGGAACTGTTCATCTCAAGACGGTCCTGGGCTTAAACCCTGATCTATTAATGAATCATGTCCAGGTTTGTAACAGCTGCACTGAAACTGACCTGGAACAGAAAGAGAGCTATGTCGAGTTTTCAGCTAAGTATAGGTTCAGGCTTGTTTGCTGGTGTGATCTGTCTCGCAGCTTTGTATACTTTTAAGAAACATGGTGTAATCACTGCATTGTAGTTTGTGACTTGATGGTACAAAGCTCTCTGCCTCCACCTTACTGGGGCCACTTGCAGCATGGCACACTGAGAGAATCAAGCAAAAGTTTATAACTCAATTGCTCAGTTCTAGCCCAGACACCAGTATCTGTGACTGTAATGTATTAGTAGCCATAATAAACATATATTGAATCTTACAGCACTATGTGGCTCCTGTCTAGTTCTTAATTTGTGGATAGTTCTTATGTTACAGGAGCTCATGTAAGTGTTGCCTCATCTGGTAGAATATCAGGCCATGCATTCCAGACCTTCTTTCACCACCTGCTGGGTGAAAATGTCTTTCCTCGAATCCCCTCAAAACCACCTGCTTTCCACTTTCAAATTATGCCAGTCCTTGTTAACGGCGCTTCAACTAAGGAAAACGGCAACTTCTTATCCCTCCCTGTCTATGCCCCTAAGAATTATCTTTCTAACACAGGAGCGGTAATGTGTGTAGCTGATATGTGTCTTTAATATCACAGCACAGCTTTGTAGAAAGTGTATTTTGTTCAAGAAAAGACTTTGAGCAGGAACAAGAAGTTGTAAAAACACAATCGGGCCAGACATTAAATCTCAAGTCTACTGAGTTTCTGTCTGTGACATATGGGGATTCTGCGGTTTCCCAGTAACCACAGAACTAATAAGGGCCTTTTTAGAAATACACAGAGGCCAGTCATCAAATTGGACCATTATAAGCAATGTGACACATCATTAAACACTTCAAATACACAACCCAGCAGCAGCAAGGGCCAGCTGTGGTGTAAGGTCATGATCCTGAAGGGGTTAATATTAAGAACACATTGACTCCTCCCATTCTACTGAGGTCACACACAGTCTGTGAATGGAGATGAGGAATTCTATTCCATCTGTCAGAGGGGCCAGCTGTATTTTTAGTGAGGCCTCTTCTGGAATACTGTGTCCAGTTTGCGTTGGCGTGTTATTGGAAGGATATTATTAAGCTGGAGAGAGTTCGGAAGAGATTTACCAGGACGTTGTGGGGAATGGAGGGTTTGAGTTATAATGACCGGCTGGGTAGGCTGGGACTTTTTTTCACAGAGCCCCAGGAGAGGTGACCTGATAGAAGTCTATAAAATCATGAGTGGTATAGATAGATTTAATAGTAGATGTTTTTTTTCCCTAGGGTGGGGGCTTTCAAGACCAGAGGATATATTTTTAAAGGTGAGGGGAGAAGGATTTAAAAAAGGCATGAGGTGCAATTTTTTTACACAGAGAGTGGTTCGTGTGTGGAATGAACTTCCAGAAGAAGTGATGGATGTGGGTACAGTTACAACGAGTAAGAGACATTTGGATAAGTACATGAATAGGAAAGGTTTGGAGGGATATGGTCCAAGCACAGGCAGGTGGGACTAGTTTAGTTTGGGATACTGATCAGCTTGGATTGGTTGGACCGAAGGGTCTGTGTCCGTACTGTGTGACTCTATGTGACTTTGGCAATCTGTACCAGCTCCTTAAAGTCCTAATCATTAAAACTGACCAAATATCGATTTAATAAACCTCATTGTTGTCTAAAAAAACAAACAGTTGGCATATCCTCTACCAATCATCACTGAATAGACCCAAGACAGAGGAGGATTGGTAGCCATAAACAGTACCAGGCACACTGATAGAGGTGGCAAATACTGCAGTAATGGCCATCTGGAAAAATACCACTCCTGCTACTCAGAACAGTATGGATAGCATTTAAAATAAGGGACACTTCTAAACAGCAAGCATTAGACACAATAGCAATATTGTGCATTTAAGCAGCACCTTCCATGCTAGAATGTGTCCCAGTAAACGCTACCTCATCAGAACATTATCGAGTAGCATTTGACACTGTGGCACTTTCCAACGTGTTTGGACCAGTGGTCAAAAACCTGGTGAAAGAATTAGGTTTGCTGGAGCATCTGAAAGAAGGAGAGAAAGGAAGACTTTTTTTTTAAAGGAGGCAATTTCTTGGGGCCTTGGGCACTAGTGGTGGGGCTGACGAAAGTCGCAAGAGGCCAGAATTAGCAAGAGGGCAGAAGTTATTGCAAGGCAAGAGAAGGTAATGAAGAGAGGGAGAGCAGACACCAAGAAGGTTTTTCAACAACAGGATCAGAATTTGAAGATTCAGAAAGTGGGAGATCAAAATGTGTCAGTGGGTACAACGGGGCGGGGGTGAGGGAGAGTGATGAGGTGTTTTGAACCTGACCTACAGAGTTGGGTGGTTAGCGCTTCTGCCTCATAGTGTCAGGGACCTGGGTTCGATTCCAGCCTCGGGGTGACTGTCTGTGTGGAGTTTGCACATTCTCCCCGTGTCTGCGTGGGTTTCCACTGGGTGCTCCCACATTCCGAAGAGGCACAGGTTAGGGTGGATTGGCCACGGGAAATTGCCCCATAGTGTCCAGGGATTTGCAGGCCAGTGGGGTTAGCCATGGGGAAATGCAGGGTTATACGGTGGGTTAGCCATGG